AAGTTTCTCATGTTTGGGAGATCATGGAAGTCACACTTTTCCCACTGATTTTTCTCTCCCCATGTCCACTTAAACAGTGTTATTGAGGGGTGCCTAAGGGGCTCGGTCGGTTAAGTGCCCAACTTCGGCTCAGGTCATGGTCTCACGGTTTGTGAGTTCGAGCGCCACGTTGAGCTCTGTGCTGACAGCCTAGAGCCTGGAGCCTGCTTCGGATATGTCTGTCTGTCTCTCTGCCCCTTTCCTGCTCACACTCTCTGTCTCTCAAAAACGAATAAACATTAAAAAAATTTTTTTGAAAATGTTATTGGGATGCCTAGGTGGCTCAGTTGGTTCAGTGTCCGACTCTTGATTTCCACTCAGGTCATGATCTCACGGTTCATGAGATTGAGCCCTGGTCAGGCTCTGTGCTGACAGCACACAGCCTGCTTGGGATCCTCTCTCTCTCTCTCTGCACCCCCCCCACCAAATAAATAAATAAACTTTTAAAGAAATAAAAGCAGTTTTTATTGAGATAAAATTCACATAACGTCAATTCACCAAAATTCGGTGGTTTCTAGTGGATTCACAATACCCTACAATTGTCAAGATTGCTTTGCAGGATTTCCACTTGCAGAATCACCTTTACTGCCCCATGCCTCCCTCCCGGCTCCTGGTGGCTGTTGGCAACCTTTTGTGTCCTTGCTTGTAGAGCCATCACTCCAATCTCCACCTCCGTCCTCACATGGCGCTCTCCCTGTGTGGGTCATGTGTCTGGGTCCATGTTTCCCTCTTCTTGTAAGGACACCAGTCCCTGGATTTAGGGCCCACTCTCATCCGGAATGACCTCATCTCAACTTGATGACATCTGCAAAGGCCCAATATCCAAGCAAGGTCACATTCACAAGCACCAGACATTAGGACTTCAACACGTCTTTTGGGAAGCACACTTCAACCCACAACAGGTGGCCTCCCAAATCCCCAGATAGCCCATCAAGTGACTCTTCGTGAGGATGCATCTAGAACTTTGCATTTGTGCCCCCTCTTCTCAAAGTCTAGAGGAAACGAAGGGATGCATCACGGCTCCATTTCGATCATGAGACAAACTGCAAAGGCCTGAATTAGCCTGGGGATTGACGTGTGGGTGTGACACGTGGGCACTTAGTGTACATTTGTAATATCACAGAAATCAGCTGTGACAGTTTCTTTACAATTAGGCTTTGATGTGCGTGTAACTTAGTTGCTGAGTGATATATTTTTTTTTTTTAATTTCTGCCCTTTTAGAATCACCTGGTAATTCATCTGGAGTGAATAGAAGTACTCTGTTTACTTACGTATGCCCCAGATGTTTATTCCACACCCACAGCAAGCAAGACACAGTTCTAAGCACAGACACACTAAGATTTGCCATTACCAAGAGAAAACCCTTGACCTCATGGAATCACATTCTAATTAGGGGCACAGACCATGAGTGAGGAGCACAGATAGTACTGTGCAGAGAAGCATGCCCTGAAGAAAATAAAGGGGTGAGTGGTGGGGAAGGTGGTCAAAGAAGGCCCTTCTGAAGGGTCATGCTTGAGCAGAAGGCTGATGAAGAGAAGGAGTGAGCCCTTTAAGACTCTGGAGGAAGAGCATTCTAGAACAAGGGAAAGACCCTCAGGCCGAGCCATGCCTGGTGTCATCAGGGACAACGGAAGGTCAGCACACCAAGGCGGCCAGAGGGATGAGTCTGAAGGGCAGGCCAAGGACCAGATCACTCAGAGCCTAAGTGGGCAAGCCAAGGATGATTCTCCCTCTAAGCGGGATGTGAAGCCACAAAGAACCGGCCACTCTGACCTATGTTTATAAAGATGTTCCCCAAGGGCCTGCAGGCAGCTCTTCAGCCGCCCAGGGGAGGGCCAGAGGGGTTTGACCGAGAGCCCATAGCGCCACAGTGCAGCAGGAAGGAAGAGGTCAGATTTGGGAGATGATTTGGGGAGAATGGCAGAGTTGGCTGTCAGGCCGGATGGAGACATGCGGGAATATGAGAGGCACCAAGGGACACTCTGGGCAGAGGGGTGAGGGAGCGGTGTTTGCTGAGATAAGGGGCTTTGGGGAAGGAAGAATTCCGTTCTGGACAAAGAACAGGTAGGAAAGTAGAAACACATAGCAAGATAGTGACTTAATCCAGCCATGTCGATAATCACCCCAAAGGAAGAACAGAGATTAGCCAATAGGGCTTTTAAAAAGCAAAAACCAGGGGCGCCTGGGTGGCTCAGTCGGTTGGGTGTCTGACTTCGGCTCAGGTCATGATCTTGCAGTCTATGAGTTTGAGCCCTGCATGGGGCTCTGTGCTGACAGCTCAGAACCTGGAGCCTGCTTCAGATTCTGTCTCTGTCTCTCTCTGCCCCTCCCCTGCTCTTACTGTGTCTCTCTTAAAAGTAAAATAAAAACATAAAAAATTAAACAGCTATGTGCTTCCTATAAGAAACCCACTTTTTTTTTTTAATGTTTATTTTTGAGAGAGAGAGAGAGAGCGTGAGTGGGAGAGGGGCAGAGAGAGAGGGGGACAGAGAATCCGAAGTGGGCTCTTCGGTGGAAGAGTGAGCCCGATATGGGGGCTTGAACCATGAGATCACTGAGGAGCCGCAAACTGTGAGATCATGACCTGAGCCCAAATCAGACGTTCGATGGATTGAGCCACCGAGGTGCCCCAAGAAACCCACTTTAAATGCAAAGGCTCCAATAGGTTAAAAATAAGGGATGGGAAAAAACAGGTGATGTCAACACTGACCAAAGGAAAGCCAAAGTGGCTGTGCTAAAGTCAAAGTAAATTACAGGGTAGGTAGCACTTCTAGGATTAGAGGGACATTTCAAAATGATAAAGGGGTCAGTTCATGAAAAGGACCCAACAGTGCTAGATGTTCATGCATGTAATAACAGAGCTTCAAATTCATGAAGCAAAAAACAGATTGAGCGGCAAGAAGAAAGACAAAAGCACAATTGTAATCCGACATTTCAGCACCTCTCTTAGGAATGGGTAGAACAACTACGTAGAAAATCAGTAAGGGAGCACCTGGGTGGCCCAGTTGGTTGAGCGTCCGACTTTGGCTCAGGTCGTGATCTCATGGTTCGTGGGTTCAAGCCCCACGTCGGG